CCGGTTTCGCAGACAAATCCCCTCTTTCCATCTTCGCCGTCTATTTGCAAGAGTCTGGGGCCACGATGCAGGCTGGTAACGCGACGAACGACCCTCTCGAAGAAATATCGTTATCTATTGCTCGCAAGTGACCGAGTGCATTAGACGGGAGCTGATTTTTTCGAGTGAAAAATATTTGCGCCGAATGGTACGCTAGTCGCTCGCATGTGAACGGTAATTCAGGCGATTGGAGGAACGGCACGTTTCTTTCACGGGGTGGCTTTATGAGGTTACTCGTGCATGGCGTTGGCGAAGGAAAATATTCCAGCGAATGCGAGATATCTTAGTAAAGACCGTGTTCTTTATGGAAGGAGATGTTCGAGAAGACCGTTCCGCCGTTGCATCGCATTTTTCCTCGCGGAGAATATACGCGATACTTTCATTAAATAAGTAGCGTTGCTCGGAACTTCTTTGTAAAGGGCACGGAAACTCTCCGCGAGTGGAACTTTCGTTAGTAAAATTAATTCGTGCAAGGCAAGTTACAGGGGTTAGACGAAGTATCGAGATGTCCGTGGACGAGCGAGGAAATAAGTCGAAGACGACGTTAATATTCGATTATCGTTGACTATGAAACGAATTATTCGACGTAAATGCTCGCAGACTTCCGCGTCACGTAGAGCAAGCTGCAGCAACGTAGCCACGGTGTCACGTAGTATCTCCATGTACGTGGCCGTATCTAAACTCGTAACCGAAATTACTTGTTGTTATTGTACGTCTTCTTGCCGCAGGAAACGTGCAGACGAGCGTGCACCAGCTATACAATTAATTGTCGTTCGATACTCGTGGCCAATAACCGAACTGTCTCGCAGTTTTCGCCGAATCGTTTCCGTCCGAGGCTTTTCTTCAGTTGCGCCGCCATTTTCGCCCCACGAGCTATTCGATACTATGGAAATGAAACTTAAGGCGGAAATTCGACGTTGCATAATACCCGTGACTAGTTAATAATCCTTCGAGTCACCGAGGGTGGCGGCTGAAAAATTCGGGATCGTTATTGCTCGCTTCTTTGAATCGCGAGAACTTCTTTGAACCGGGAACGAAGAATCGAGCTCGTACTCGTGAAAAGAATGGCTTAGTTGAAAATTGACACAGTTCCCTGCGACGAATGTAAGGTACAAAAGGGAGGATATTAACGCGGACTCATTAAGCGGAAGCACTCGGGGCAGCTTCCTGTTTAATGTTTTATCGTAGCCTTAAAACACGCGAAGAGCAGGCACTAGAAGTCGGTCAGCGTCATAAAAAATTACTGTTCATTTTTTAAAAGGTTCGGTTGCACGGGAAGGACCAAGAGGCTTTAATTAACGGGGCTGTGCCACAGAGAATATTGGCTCTGTTCCGTTTCGCGACGGCTAACGAAAGCGTGATTCAATTTTGTAAAATACAACCTGGTGAACTGCGGCGGATCGAACATTGAAAATTTCACTGCGAAGAAATCAATCGAAATCAAACGAACGATTTCCAATGACGCAAACCGCAAAACTGGCAGTAAAAAAAAAAAAAAGAAAAGCCAATTATGACCGCGAGAAAGTTTGGCAACCGAAAGAAAACGGGGGTTAATTATTCGGTCGGCGTAAACCGGTGTTTGATAACTAGGTAAACTCGAGTTCGCACTCATGAATATTCCATCGGTACTTTTTTTTGAATATGTAAGGCTGCCCGTGTCATATTTTTCCCTCCTATCTGTTGATCTCGTACGAATTTCACGCGGAATCAAAGCGCCCAACTACATAGGCGATCAACATTACGTATAATTGACGAGAGAAATCCGTTGGTTCGAATTCGGTGACATAATTTTCTGAGAGAATTATTTTCACGGAAATTCAAAATTGACTGTAATTCAAACAGAATTATTTCCGATTCGGTGTATTTTTTCAGTTCTCCTTCCATCATTTACAACCGAAGAACATCAACAGTTGAGTGTCGTTACAGTTAATGAAAATTTCAATCAGAATTTATTAAACAACTTTCCTCTCTTTACCGTTGTTTAACAACATTCGATAATTTATATAACCACGTGGGAAATTACGTTCGTTATTGCGTTCAAACATTTTTATGTACTTTACGGATATTTTTGCTTTCAATGTTTGTTCCAATTTATTTTAATTATCGCGAATTGCCCTTCAATTCGTGAATGTAATTTTAATTAACGTTAACTTAATATCACCAATACCGCAAGGTCAAACATTATCGCGTTACTTTCATCGCTTAATTATTTTTGACGTTAATCATCGCGTTTCTTTATTGAATCGTTAGTTATTTAATTATCGTATAATTTATAGGAAAAAAGTCAACGTCGATACAATGGCGACGCGGAAGACTCGAACTCGGGTCATTCCGGTGGCAGACAACGACTCTATTCATTATGCCACCGAGACCTCCTGTGTAATCTTTGCTTCCCGAGTATATATACTCCATTGACCTACTATTTCCACCTCAAGTACATCTTTTACCATACAATAAGTCACAAACTACCACTCGTATCATCATCTTCCTACTTTCAACCCTCAACACTGCCGCCGGCAAAGTTTTTTCCGGACAAAAATTTTCCCCATTATATTCAAATGATGTACTTCAATTCTCCCGTCAGTCGAGTGAACGGAAACATATTTTCTCGGAACCGAAAAACGAGCGAAGACGCGTATCCTGATTCAATTTCCCGCGAGTGTTTCCAAATTGCCAGCATATATCTATCAAAGTGCCATTTCCGAAATCCCTTGTATTTAATTTCGCAATTTGGGGAAAGCCTGGAATCCTGATGCACTGGCTGGTATAAAAGGTGTCTCGCCTGTCCCTGGTTAATCCGCAAATTTGAATATCGTCGATCCGTGGGTCGATCAGAAATTCGGCGCGAGTGCAAAATGCCGGCGCTGTGATCGTATTCGAAAAATATTTTCGCTCTAATCCTCGGCCCCGTCTGCTCCCTCTCTGTCATTGTCCGGCATGTCTCGCTTCTTTTTGCTTTCCGGTCCGCGCCGTTCATGAATATGGAAAGTTAGACCTTTCGGTGACGCGATCCGCGTCTCTCTCATTTTTCCTCGCATTTTTTTTTTTTTTATTTCTCGTCCGTCCCGCGGTTTGCAAATTGATTCCGCGCAAGTGGTGCCACGTCGCTGTTGATTCGAAAGGGGAAAGGATTGGTTTTCCATCGGGCCCCGCACTTGGATCAAAATTGAACCGCCGCTGAAAGGACGACTGGAACGAGGAACCGATTACATCAACGCGGTTCACGCGAGACTAAGGAAATATATTTGCCGATTGCCGTATTATTGTACCACGATGACGACAGAACAAGGGATTCCATCGCATTCGCAAAATTTTTATTCCACGGAGATGGGACAGAGTGTTTGGAATACTTGGAAAACTGTAAAGATTCCGTAAGTTTAAGCGAGAATTCTTGGACACGGAGTCTCGTAAAAAATCGCAACAGTTTCCAGATGGAACGTCCGTTCTATTCCACGCGATGTTTCAGACTTACTAAAATTTGCACTCGTGGGATGATCAATTATCCCCCTCCCAAATAGAAGAATCTCGGTAACGGAGGCGCAGAGCCCCCTTGACTAACCAGTTTGGCGATTAGGAGGGAAAAAAGGGAGAGTAGAATGGGTAGAATGGGTGCTGGAATCATCGATCAAGATCGTTCGCTACTCACTGACGCTCTCGGAGAGTGCCTCTTCAAACTTGCTGTAGTTTCTTAGGAAGTGACCAAAGCCGCCCACCAATGGCGCCCCGAAGACGAATGGCAATTCCTCGCCGTGGACAGAGCCCATTTTCTGAAAGCAGAAACAACGGAGACCTGTTAGTCGACCGGTCGACGAGCATCGATGAACTTTCACCTGCGTCGAGGAGGTCATCGCGGCGATTAAATTTCGCACAATAAATAGCGAGCTATTACTCGGAGCCTAACTTCCGATTCGAGGATTGAAGCACGCGTTGAAACCACCCTGGTGACCCATTTCTCTTTCCACACCCGACTCGCAGAGTCCAAATGCCACGACCCTTCCCGAAGCTAGAAACTACAGCTACTCGTCGTGTTTCCTGGCTGCTCGGTAATTATTCGCTCGATGGAGAAATCTACGAGGCAGTAATGCGTCGCTTATCGGCCCCAGGAGGGATTTACGAAACGGCAGACTGGATTCTACCGCAGCCTCGATCACGTTGGACACGTCAGCTGCCGGTAATTCAATTTCTTCGAGCTTCCAGCCCTTTCGCTCGAAATTATCCACTTCCTGGCCCTTTCTCGCCATCGCAAGGGGAAACAAGGGGAGTCGTTTGACACCTAAAAGGATAAAGCTGCGGGGAACCTGCAACTCGTCCGATTGTGCCTGGTACTGCCAGACAATCTTGAGATTTTAGCCTGGGAAACGACGCGATGCAATGCAGCCACGGCGCGCAGCGTCGAGAGGAGTTTCGAAAGGGCGTTTTTCGATATATTTAAAATTTTCTCCAAGTGGAATTTGAAGAGACGAGCAGAAGAGAGTTTCTGCCGAGTATCCTCCATAGGTACGAAAATTACGGGATAATTAATAAAGGTCTTGGTAAGAAAAGCAATCCGCTAGAGAGAATAGAGTTTCGTCTGACGAGGTACGAACTTTTACTACTTGGTACTTACAAACTCGTACTTTATCGATTCCCTATGTTATTATCTACGACCTGGCTACCATCGATACATTATTTCCTCAACATTCGGGTACATACAGCAGAGGAATACAACGTCGTTAATAATTCTTCGCGTGCTTGCACCTTTTTCTAAATTTCCTTCGCAGGAACGGCATCGCGTGGTGCAACTTTTGAACCAGTTGTTCGTTAATTTCGTAAATTAAGCGTCTTAAAACTTACGTAAGATTTCGAGGACGAAATTACGCGGATGATGGATAACTGGCGATATCGAAGGCAGGTCGCACAGATTTCTGGGCAAAGTTGGCCTCCGACCGGCAGCCATAACGGCCGATTAACGAGAATCACAGACCACGGCGAACGTCTTCGTTAACGGCCACGATTTCCTGCGACTCCGTCGTTTCCCATTATGCTCGTTAACCCGATAAATCGTCCGATTTTCCTTCCTCCGTGGCCACCCTTATTATCGCCACCCATCGCACCCGAGGCTCCGTCTTGAACACGTTTCATTCCGCGGTACACAACTCGCGATCACCTCCGCCTCCTCTTTCCTTTATCCGCGTCGTTAACAAGAATATCCTTTCGCACGCAACGGTAGAATTTTATTTTCTACCATAAACTGAAGTACCAGCGATAAAGCTCCTCTTACCGAATTGCCGCTCCATTCTACTTTCACTTGGATCAAGCATAAATAGCCGGGTTTTACGCTGAACCGACAATTTAATCAAGATCAAACGACCGGGCAAAGAAAAGCGTTCGTACGTACCAAGAGAGCAGTTTTCGAAAAAGAGCCAGGTGAAAGAGGCGAAAGATTGAAATTTTTGATTCGTCGCCGGCGAAAACGTTGGCCGTCGATTAAAGGCAAAGCAACGGCGAATGGGAGAGATTAAATTTCGTTCGTCGCGGAAAATTGCTTTCCTGCCGGCCATCGCTTGCCACGCCGGCATCGGCGGTCGTTGGAAAATAGTTACAGCAACGTGAAAATGAAGTTCGCGGCTGCAGTTTCTGCTTCGCCGGCAATCGGTTCGCGTTTTCGGCAACGGCGTGCCAAACTTTCCGCCCGGTCCAACCGGAAGATACGCCTCTCTGATTGCGACAGGGTAAATAAGCAGCCAGAGAAGAAATTACTTCGCGCTGTTAGTTGGTCGAGGAAAAGTTGCCCCTTTCCATGACCCCTTCGAAAAAAGTTTCACGTGCGAAACTTTCATTGCGAAACGTTTTACGATCGGCCAACTTGCTTCGCGAGATTACAGTTTCGAAGAATGCATAAGAATGCATAGAAGCGTGCCGGCGTTCTCCCCCGAAAAGGAGGAACCGCGGGAATAGGCTGAAATAGGGCTAGACGGTTTCCTCGTTCTCCGCCATTTTACCTTCCCGCTCTCTAATCCTTTCTCGTCCGCGTGAATCCTCGCTGGAATAATTTATTAGTTGCCAAGGCGCAGTCTCGCGGCGTTGCTGCGCGACAGGACAGCAAATAACCCTCGGTTGGAGCACGGTCGAGATAACGGTCTGCCAAAGAAAGGACATCGATCACGTTTTCTCGAGATACCTCGACCCGATACGTTGCCTAATGAAATTAATCGTATCCGGGGAATCGTGGCCTCGTCGTTAGTCAACGCTTACGGGAACCAGTTCCCGAAACAAGCTCGATTCCGGTTCACTGTCGAGTGGAACAGTGACGAATACTCGACACGGATGCACCGGTGTACGGTTATTTTGAATTCGGCTCCTGCTATTTCTCTGCTTCGGGACTTAGGGGATGTTTAATGGCGGACTCGCTTCATTTTCCCGATCGCGAGGTAGGTATCAGAGACAGGAAACACTCGTTACATCTGACAGGACGAAGTGTGAAGCGTGTACTGGTCGAGATTAACGTATACGTCTGAAGGTGGAGGACGAGAGGCTTTTTAGTGAAAAGAGCACTACGTTTTCTTAGCGAGACTTTATTATATGCGGGGATACGGAAAACGGAGGGCTAGCTTTTCGGGAAAGACCCGTGTCGTTGAAGAGGCATAAGCGAACTGACTCTTTTTAGGTGGTGTCGAGGTGGTCCGCGAGTCATGGGACCCTGGTTGTAAAGACATAAACCAGACCCCCATTGACCCGGAACCCTCGATGTCTCGAAGAAGTCGAAAATAATTACAAGGAACCTTCGTTTTCCGTATCTGGGATGTGTCCCTACACGTCATTAACAAAAGAATGGTTAATCATAAAAATCGTAAGCCTTCTAGTCATCATTGCAGTCTGCGAATAGTTTTCTAACTGTTTTTGTATTAAAATAATTTCATTTAACGAGGGTTCGAGGATCCTCCGGTAGAATTTCTAGGTTTAAGTGGAGTGCCACCGTGCTTGGTCAGACAGTACGAGTCACCGTTTGAACCGCCTAATTTGTACACGCTCGTGATAATCACCGACAGGACCGATATAATTCTTCCAAGGTCTCCCTTCCACGGCGGTAAATTTCAAAAGAGATCATGGGTTGAAGATCGAAATCGAACCATTTAGGAAGTGGAACGAAACGCCGCCTGTCAACACGATCAGTGCGTCATACGTTAAACGTATCGCTTTTAATTTTCGAGAATATCCTGTTCGCGGAATGTGGCGCATTCGCAACGATTTGTTTAGAAACGAGGATGGAACAATTTCCGGTCGAAATGGTAATGGCGACATCAGCCGAAACTGGCATTTCTCCAGCTCCCCGAGTTTTGACAATTTAAATGCATGCACAATCGGATAAAATCGGGGCTCCTTGAACGAGACCAGAAAGTCGTTGGCGAGTGGAGGCGAGAGAGAGGGGAAAAGGTAAGGAATCGAGATGGTTGCAGGGGAACAAGATCAGACTGAGCGATACATTCGGATCTACGGATTACTTTAACGAAGTTCTGCTGCATTTATAAAAGGATCCTGATTAAAGCCAAGAGATCCGACGATAGCTCGGGCCGGTCGTCGGGCTTTTCGAAAAGGCGGATTCCGCTTCCGGCGAACGGCGAGCAACGAGTAGAAGCGAAGAGCGGAAGAGGGGCGGCTTAAGTAAATAAGAGTGGACAGTAAAGACTGTCGGAAATAAGCTTAATAAAATAACGAGCTGAAACCAGACGAGTACGGTCCCGCTTCGCTTCTCAGATGCGCCTTTTTAAAGGAACTGCTGCAACGCACGTAACAGCCGACTTTCCACTTCACCGACTCGTCCACGTCTTCATTCAGGATTTTTGCATTCAGTCGAGTGTGTTCTCGCGAAGATTCTTTATTCCAGCCGCGTTGCTACGATAATTGACTCGACTCGCCGAGAACAGGGAGAGAGAGGGAGAGAGAGAGAGAGAGGAAAACCCGGGGAAAGGAGAGAAAAGAGAGGAGGAAGAAGAAGGAAACGAAGGAGATAGCCGATAATGGGGAATTTCATATAAATAAGTCACAACTCGTTGGGGAGAAAAAATATCAATTGAAAGTGACAGTTATCTTCAGCATCGTTTGAGTAGGAGCATTTGAAGAAACGAGATTCGCAGTAACCGTGTCGTTATTTCCTAGCAGGAATAAAGATTTTCGCGCAAAAGCAGGGAAAATCCTGCTCGTTCTTTATTCGTACGTAACGAATGAGGAATTTCCTTGTAGCACTCAGTTCTGACTTTCGAGATCAATTATTCTCGGCCCCGGAGCCAGGCGGGACGAACGGAATAAAAAGCCACCAGTCCTTTTTAAATCGAGCAAAAAGTTTCGTGCCTCGGCGCGGAATTATTCCCGGAGATGAACCGACGAAAGAGAGAATCGGTTAAACTCAGCCGAGCTCGCCGATCTATTGTCGTCTTTAGTCTAGATCTTCTCTTTTCACTTTTCTGTGCAAAAATGTCCTTCACACATGGACTGTCCTACGTCCGATAAGATTTAAGTACGTCGAGCTTCCACGAAGAATCAAAATGACGAGTCGTTGCTTAAAAATTGAATAACGCAACAAGAAATACCCAATTTGCACTTTATTCGCAACCTACTACATTCGAAATTTACACTGCACGCAGTGAGAATCTCGTGATACAAATTGAAAAAAATATTTTGAAAAGCTAGAAGGTTAAAAATAATTTGATTGAACAGATTCCTAATTTTATTTTTAAATTACTCCGAAATGTCGCAGGCTTTACATAGCTTAAGTAAAATATCGCAGTTT